ATCCAATAAATGGGGCAAGATGACAGTTATGGAAATTCGTGGCTTTTTTGTAATGAGTTTAATAGAGTGAGCAATGTCAGTAGCCTTTCCAGCAATGTCAGCAGCCCCACCTACTGCTCCTTCCCATATGGGTATCGCAACACTATTTTCAATATGGCACATTGCAACAAAAACTCATCACGTATTTTCCATATGAATACTAAAATATATACAGTGTTTTCTGACCCCATTATATAAAGGAACATTCTTAGCATGTTGTAAGTGTCATGATTTTCTTGTCGTTGGTAAGGCCAGAGCTGCACCATGCTGATGAGACCAAAAGGTCAAAACACATGTCTGGGGAGAGCAATTCTCACTTTTAAGGTGAGAATTTCCATCCGTATGTTTGCATATGTGTGGATGCTCGTGAGGAAGTCACCCTCCAACAATGACAGAGGGCAAAGGAACAATGCTCAAGACAACGAGCAGAGCGCGCAGCTGCTAAAACACAACAAACTGGCACAATGGGCAGTACACGTGGTGCTTCTGCCAGTCAATTTAGTCGGTTAACCCATAACTCTTGGGTCTGTGCCATGACCTCCTGCTGGCAAAAAATGGCCCCATAGCTATAATGGCTCAACCCGAGCTATGAATGCCTTGATATTTGCATTGCCTTTGTGCTGTTCGCCTTCTGGCGTTCCCTGGTTTTACACTGGTGAGACAATGCCATAAAGGAGGTTGTCTCTGGTGTAGGCCAATCAGTTTCCAAACAATGCATACATAATTATCAAAGCACATTTGTTTGCATGTTTTACCACAAGCATGTGTGGTTAATGCAGACTTGATAACTCGCAATAGGTGTCTGTTTTGGTGTCTGAACAGCTTAACACCTCCTGTATTATTGCCCGAAAGTGTAAAGCCTATTCTTTTTTCATCAATGTGCAAAATGCCAAGGGAATGTGTTTCAGCCATTCTGACAATCTGCAAAAGTGGCCCTATCCGTTATGCAGTTTAACTTACTGCATTGCCAATGACCATTCCATGCTAAACATTCTGGATCTCATCAGATTGGAAGCTTGGACGAGATTAGCTTGCTCAGTAATTAGGTAGGTGATGGCCAGGCAATTGCAATGCTGAGTGTCACCTCCATATCTGATTCGGTTTCTCAAAGTACTCTGGTTTCTTCTTACATGCCAAATACTCATCAATGCAATTTCCTAAATACAGTAAAACCTTGGATTGCGAGTAACTTGGTCCACGAGTGTTTTGCAAGATGAGCACATTTTTTTAAAATACATTTTTACTTCATAAACGAGCGAGGTCTTGCAATACGAGTAGTACGTATACGCTTTGTCTGCCGAGCGTCACGTGATCACAACTGAGCCGATGGTTCTTCCCTCTCTCTCGCTGCGGGATTGTGGGTAATCGTCTCCCATCATCAGTCTCAGTCGGCGTGCCTCACTCGTATAGTCAACATCCGTGCGAGCGTATACTGTTTACTATAGTGTTGTGACCACGAGTGTGTGCGTAAAGCATTTTTATTATTTTGTGTCCAAGTGTAGTGACTGTTCTTTAGAAAAGCACCACCCGAATAAGGCTGTAGCGGTGCGAGCGATGAATCTGTTTAACGACAATGCAATGTCACATTTCCGCGAAATCCTCAAAAGGAGGTAAAAGCGAGCGTCATTGGGATATGTTCCTTGTTAAAGTCGCACAAAAAGAAAACGATTCCAGTGAGACAACAGATAGCAGTGATTCCGTTAGTGACAGTGAAAGTCGTCCTACACAATAACCCTCCTCCTCTCCTCTCTCTCATCTCCATCACACCAGCCACGATTACATTTAATTAATACATTGGATTACTTTATATTAAATTTAAATAATAAAAATAAAAAAGGTATTTTGTATTAATCATTTTTACATGAATATTTTTGGGTTGTGGAACGAATCATCTAAATTTCCATTGTTTCTTATGGGGAAATTCGCTTTGATGTATGAGTGCTTTGGATTACAAACACGTTTCCGGAACGAATTATGCTCGCAATCCAAGGTTTTACTATATCTTTATGCTGGAGTTTTGAGATTTACTGAGTATTAACAGGGGAACGAATTAGCATTAGCATACTCTTTGGTTTTTTTGGTAAAGTCACGTAGGTAAAAAAAAAAATATATAAAGAAAATAAATGAAAACTAAATTAAATCACGACGTTTCGGGCGCAACACAAGCGTCCTTCTTCAGGTGGGGACAACGTAGCGAAAGCACAAACGCTTAAAGTGTGTCTCAGAGATTGCTGTGACGAGGGATTATATAGTAGTCGCGGGGCATGGAGGGAGGGGGGGGGGGCACGGTGAGTGTGGGGGCGAGGTGTGGGCTGGGAGGAGAAGTTGCACAGCCGAGGGTCCACTGGGAGGCAACTGGTGGTGCCGAGACTGAGGCTTTGTGATGTAGATGGCGGAAGTAAATAAGCAAGCTAGGATTAATAATATGTTCCAATCTAAATCCTCCAAGCAAAGATCGATCTATTAAGGTGATGAAACAACAACAACATATATTTACAGTTGACAAGTAAAAAAAATGTGCCTCAAAGGATTGATTTTAACATTTGGAAAAACAAATTGGTAGCTGTGCAACTGATATCTTGCCGATGAGTGTTAAAATTATGAAACAGTTTCAAGACTTTTTTTAGATGCACAATTGGCAATATATACGGTGAGGGAAAAAAGTATTTGATCCCCTGCTGATTTTGTACGTTTGCCCACTGGCAATGATATGATCAGTCTATAATTTTAATGGTAGGTTTATTTGAACAGTGAGAGACAGAATAACAACAACAAAAATCCAGAAAAACGCATATCAAAAATGTTATAAATTGATTTGCATTTTAATGAGGGAAATAAGTATTTGACCCCCTCTCAATCATAAAGATTTCTGGCTCCCAGGTGTCTTTTTATACATGTAACGAGCTGAGATTAGGAGCACTCTTAAAGGGAGTGCTCCTAATCTCAGCTTGTTACCTGTATAAAAGACACCTGTCCACAGAAGCAATCAATCAATCAGATGCCAAGCAGCTTGGTGAGAAAGTGACAACAGTTGGTGCGATTATTCGCAAATAGAAGAAACACAAAATAACTGTCAATCTCCCTCGGCCTGGGGCTCCATGCAAGATCTCACCTCGTGGAGTTGCAATGATCATGAGAACGGTGAGGAATCAGCCCAGAACTACACGGGAGGATCTTGTCAATGATCTCAAGGCAGCTGGGACCATAGTCACCAAGAAAACAATTGGTAACACACTACGCCGTGAAAGACTGAAATCCTGCAGCGCCCGCAAGGTCCCCCTGCTCAAGAAAGCACACACATGCTCGTCTGAAGTTTGCCAGTGAACATCTGAATGATTCAGAGGACAACTGGGTGAAAGTGTTGTGGTCATACGAGACCAAAATGGAGTTCTTTGGCATCAACTTAACTCGCCGTGTTTGGAGGAGGAGGAATGCTGCCTATGACCCCAAGAACATCATCCCCACCGTCAAACATGGAGGTGGAAACATTATGCTTTGGGGGTGTTTTTCTGCTAAGGGGACAGGGCAACTTCACCGCATCAAAGGAACGATGGATGGGGCCATGTACTGTCAAATCTTGGGTGAGAACCTCCTTCCCTCAGCCAGGGCATTGAAAATGGGTCGTGGATGGGTATTCCAGCATGACAATGACCCAAAACACACAGACAAGGCAACAAAGGAGTGGTTCAAGAAGAAGCAAATTAAGGTCCTGGAGTGGTCTAGCCAGTCTCCAGACCTTAATCCCATAGAAAATCTGTGGAGGGAGCTGAAGGTTCGAGTTGCCAAACGTCAGCCTCGAAACCTTAATGCCTTGGAGAAGATCTGCAAAGAGGAGTGGGACAAAATCCCTCCTGAGATGTATCCCAACCTGGTGGCCAACTACAAGACACTTCTGACCTCTGTGCTTGCCAACAAGGGTTTTGCCACCAAGTACTAAGTCATGTTTTGCAGAGGGGTCAAATACTTATTTCCCTCGTTAAAATGCAAATCAATTTATAACATTTTTGACGTGTGTTTTTCTGGATGTTTTGTTGTTATTCTGTCTCTCACTGTTCAAATAAACCTACCATTAAAATTATAGACTGATCATTTCTTTGTCAGTGGGCAAACGTACAAAATCAGCAGGGGATCAAATACTTTTTTCCCTCACTGTATCTCACAACCCCCATAAAAAAACATCAGAAAGGTTTAAACGAGATGGAGCCATTCAGTCCATCCAACACGCTGGAAGGCAGCCAGAAACTAGTGCCAACAAACACATTCCTGCGGAGGGAGCTGGTAGGAACGTTGGGTTGCTCGGTCAATGGCCAGGGTCAACGGCGGCACCACGTGGTGTATTCCGCAAATATGTCCGACTGTGAGGGCGGGCACAAGCCGGCGTGAGTAGGTTAAACGTTGAGGTTTATAAGGGCACCACGGGGTGACCAGCTCCTCCCCACCCAGCCACACCCCTCCCACCCCCCACCCAGCCCCACCCTCCCTACCCAGCCCCTCTCCACCCTCCCCACCCAGCCCCTCCCCACCCTCCCCTCCCCACCCAGCTCCTCCCTCCCCACCCAGCCCCTCCCCACCCTCCCCTTTCCACTCAGCCCCTCCCCTCCCATTTTTGGATGCACGACGGACAGACACAATAATCCCCTATGGGCTGGTGTAACCAGGAGGTTCCTACCAGTATTATCCAAGCTCTGTGGTCTGCCAGTAGCGGGTGGGGGTGTATACTTTCTATGTACTACACTTGCTGTATATGATAAAGTAATTATTTGCACGTGTACATTTTCATATTTTGTCCAGATATATATTCACATCGTTGGAACATGAGAGGCTATATGCCAGCCTCCTCCAACAACTGGCAGCATTGCCTCTAACCCTGCTTCAATGTGTTTAATATTATATGTGACCTGTATATACATGCTATTATTTTTTTGTATGTGATGCATTATGTAAAATATTAATAGACTCACCGAACTGTCCGCGTCTGTGACCCTTCTCCACAGCTGTCAGTGGCTCCGATGCGCGTCACATGGCACACAGTCCAGGGCTCAGAAATCCACACATGCTGGCCGCACTCACTGTGACACGGAACGGCCTCGTACACCTGTGCACATAAACAAAGATCCCGTGTATCGCCTGAAAGACTGTTGGGGCAAGTGCTGTTAGTGAGCACCTATGAAGACTGGCACGGTACACGAGGGTGTGGGCGGCCAGCAGCACGCCTGACCGCCTTTGTCTCCCCAGTGGCGATTATTTTATACACCACACCCTCATTTGAGGTTGAGTCGACCCCGGGGAGGCCCAGGACTGGTTCGGATAATCGTCACTGGTGTTGTGGACGTGAGCGGGAATCGAACTTGGGGCGCCGGGTTCGTAGCGCAGCGTAGCGCTAACCGCTGCACCACCGCTCCCCACACTACCGCTCTGTGCACACACCCCCATTCACACACACACGTACATACGCGCATTCAAACTCATGCACCCACACAAGCACACAAACGTGTGCATATTAATGTGACTCAGATAAACACGAGTGAAACAACACAGGAGGAACTATTTAAAAATCCAGCACGAACCCTTGAGCTAAAAAGAATTTTTAAAAAATATATAGAATAGTATTGTTGGTTTGTTGTGGAAAAAAAAACTAGGTTTGTTATGGAAAAAAAAACTAGCTTTGTTGTGGGAAAAAAAAAAACTAGATTTTGTTTCACAACAAACCAAAAATACTATTGTATCATTCTTCCAAAAATATAGATTATTGTTTTTTTTGGAACAATGTCTTGCATGGATCCAGACGTGCTCATTAAATGGCATCAATCTTGGACGGCGTATTACACAGCATATGAGATCACAAAAAAACGCTGTACACAGATGGGGTATGTAAATTACAACGTAGTTTGTGCTATGCTCATAGCCACTGGCACTAAATGCATCGCAGTTTAAAAGTGAATTAACTTTTATCCTCATGCAAATGGAATCATTTCAAAAGTGATACTGAAGTCATGCAGATTACTTCCACCTTGGTCAACATCCAAGCAAGTTCAAAGCAACCTAATGCATTTATAATGTTCATGAACAGACTAAAAATGAGGACAACCATGAGTTCACTTGTTCTGGGTCTGCACATATTCCTTATTGTGCAACAATAGAAGATGTTGCATGAAGTATTCAGGTCCACATTGGCTTTGAGGGACAATGCGCTTTCCTGAAAAGAATGGAGTGATAGGAATTCATGGGGAACAGTATTTTCTTTAAACTGTGTTAAATTCAAAATTGCATTTTCAGTATCCATTAAAGATTGCACTGATTTTGGTAATGTACCCTTTTATGCACTTTGCATTTAGATGGCCATATTAGTTCTTTAAATGGAAAGGACTATAAATACATAAAAAGAACACATTGTAGGCAACAATGACTTTAAATCATCATTAATGCATATTACGGTTTGGTGAGAAAGGCTTTTCCTGGTCGTTTCTTTTTGACACATTTATAACAATACTCATCCATAGTTTTGTCTGGCATATATGCATATATAATGCATTTTTGTTATTTATACCTGGTGACAGTTAAAGCGCAAATAAAAAAATGCATTGGAAGATGCTGCCCTGTTTCTTGCTCCAGATACAAATGGTGAATGACGACAATGGCATAACATCGAATTTCTGACCCAGATAATACCATATAGTATATGTAAATAGCCATTCATTACTGTTACATTTGTATAGTTTACATATATATATTTTTTTCCATTTTTATACTTTCTACTCCACATCGTATTGAGATGTTTTGCTTTTCAATGCAAAATAAAACTGTCACAATTCATTACGTATAGAAAAACAATTAATGTCACGATACATATTAATTTTAGCATTGTATATTTGGCATATAATTACAGATATTTCAATTTAAAAAGAGTAGCCATGCCCGAAATTGGCACTCTGAGAAAATGAAGGTCATAGTTAATGCTGCAATCATATGTGGCCTTTGAATGAAACCTTATTGGGGAATTATTGCTCATTGTTATACGTTGTACATCAGCACACTGGTATCCGTGAGTCACTAATAATCCAGAACTGAATGGAACTTCAATCTCAAATAAATACCGCATTTATGTGTGGGACCCTAAAAGGAGAGAACTGATGGGGTTCTAATAATACAGAAGAGGGTGGTGGTGTATTACTGACCTGTGCCTTTGGAGTCATCGGGGTCAGCAAGCAATAAGGAAAGAAGGGAAACAAAATAAACAGAGAAGAATTGTTTAAACAACCCTACGTGATTACATTTTGCACGATACATGTAACTTGCCGAGTGATGCACAACAGTTGTGTATGGTGCTGTGAAAAAAAAAATACAACATAAGATTTCCCAAAAACCTTCAAAACCATTGTACATTGTAGTTAAAAATATTAATGTAGACATACACATAGCAATCGATGAAGAGGTTTTTTTTGTGTGTTAAAAGCATACAAGGCAAAGCTCGAGGCCAGCATATCATCACCATCTCTCGAAAGCTACATCCCCAACGCCTTGTACAGGGATGCCACATCCCCCGCCAGTCCAATTGAGGTGGTGATTTTTTTTTTACCAGACGGGGAGAACAACCCGCGAAAGTCTGAAGCATTTTCTGGGCGAATATGTTCTGCCCCATCCTCTGAAAAGCCACCCCCCCCCCCCCCTCAACACCCTCCCAATTCAACATTTCAACTCCACCATCAACACTCGGCAACCTCCCACCACAAGTCCTGAATTAAACTGCCATTGATTTTCCTCCTGGTCATGGCGCAATTGCACCACTCAGAAAGGGACGATTAATCACTCTGCCTGCCGGTGCTATTTATCCATGGCACTCTGTGGATTTCTGGTGCCCTGAGCCAATGCTGGCGTGGTGATGTGGTGACCTCCTAAAGGCTGTGGCGAAGATTATCAGCCCAGATAGTAAAACACACAGGGCTGGCCACTGCCAGCAAATGTTCTTGGGTATATACCACAAAACCTGATCTGATTCGGTTTTTTCAGATGTGATACACTCACCACAAATACCATGTAATGCTCACTTTGTATAGAATTTGTAATGTTGCTGGAAAATTATGTTTTCACAACATTGTCTGGTGCATTGCTGTGAATGGAACACCTGAATTAAATAAACCAAAAAAAACTGTCCACTTTGTTGCTTTGCATGCTATCGTAAACTTTGAGTTTCAAGCAAGTGCATGCTTAGTTGGTCTACCAAATTGAGAGCAATTTATGTAATAGGTTTAAAACATCAGGAATGAAAGGACTTAGCAAGCACTAAAATAAATACAGTTCTGTTTCAGTGTAGTATTTTTGTTAATCACTACTGAATCACAGTATTTTACATCGTTGTTGTATTCAACTTACATCACATCTGAACGAGAGTGGAAGTAATATTGTATATTGTTTAAGAGAAGAGGAGATAGACAAGCTAAGTTTGAGAATGATGGTGAAGTTAAAATATGGATCTGTTCACAACTTAGTAATACTACATTCACTAATGACAAGGATGCTTTCCTTGTTCACTGAACATTGATTGTGAACTGCTGAAAAGGTATGTGCTTTCACTTATTAAAATCCATATCCATCATTAATAAGCATCATGTACAGGCATTTTCCGACTTATGAACATCTGCGCTTAAAAATGCGCTTCCATAAGAACCGAATTAAGAACATGAACTCGCACTTGCGAACTAAACCACGGAAACTATTTGGTTCGGTGCACTATTTCTGAAATATATTTCTTATTATTTATGAGTTCAACAATGCTTCCAGTTTTTGTTAATCCGAGACATTTTATAACACTGACCTATGAGCATTTATATACAGGTACTCCTCGACTTCCAAAAATTCGACTTACAAACTTTCAGAGATACGAACCTGTCCGTATGTCCAGTTGCCTGTTCGGACCGAGAGTTGGTAAGGTCAACCGCCGTGCAATAGATGGTGGTGGTTACATTTCGATGTAAAGCTTTCGTGACTGCAAGGATTCATCTTCTTGGTTCTTTCGGTAAAGTCACGTAGAATGAGAATAAAAGAATTATTGTCTTATTTTGTTTTATTGTTTTATTCTCATTCTACGTGACTTTTACCGAAAGAAGCAAGAAGATGGTGGTGGTTGTTCGGTGTCATTACCCAGCATTCCCGGCATTTGTGCATGGGCCGCCGCTATTGTCTGTTGTTGTGTTGTCGCTGTGCGGTTCACCATGACGTTCTCTCTGCATTTTCATGAACATTATCAACTCCCATCATGTCTCAGAAGTGTAATAGTGGGGAAAGTGTTGAGGGTGGTAGTAAGAAGAACCAGCGGCATCTACATCTACAGAAGATTATACAACTTTTAAGCCTTTCCCCGTGTTTTGTGTGCATGCCGTTCAACATGTTTGGAATCAACAGGAGTAAAGTTTGACTTACAAACAAATCGACTTATGAACAGACCTCTGGAACTTAACTCGTTCGTAAGTAAATGAGTTCCTGGATAGTGCATTATTATGGTCTGGCTTACAGACGGATATCAGGAACGGAATCCGTACATAGGTCGGGGACTGACCTATGCAATTGTATAGCATTCATTGTAAAGTGGTTAGGTTGATTGAGCCTAGACAGACATATTTCATAGACATGTAAAGTAGTATGATAAAGAATACAAATAATAGTTCATGTATATCTATTTGCACAGTGGTATATGTAAAACTTTAAAAGTACAGTCGATTGGGTGGCTTACTTCAGTTTAAATAACATCACAGTTCCCAATAATATAATACCACTCAAATCACTTACAAGCATAAGAAATTACAAATAATCTCTGGCGCAAGGTAAAATAACATTTGTACATTAATTAGTATAAAACACTTTCAGGATATTCAATTCACGCATGCATGAAAATAAGTCAAAGATAGATTATTTATTTTGAGTGTGTAAAGCACTGACTTAAAACTTTTGTGACTGCAGGAATTCATATTCTTTGGTTCTTTCGGTAAATATCACTAATGTAGACTGTAGCCTGGTTCTTAATCTGAGTGTACTGGCAGTCTATAATGTAGACTGTAGCCTGGTTCTTAATCTGAGTGTACTGGCAGTCTATAATGTAGACTAAGT